CAGCAGAGAGGGATACAACATCCCAGCAGAGAGGGATACAACATCCCTGCAGAGAGGGATACAACACCCCAGCAGAGAGGGATACAACATCCCAGCAGAGAGGGATACAACATCCCAGCAGAGAGGGATACAACATCCCTGCAGAGAGGGATACAACACCCCAGCAGAGAGGGATACAACATCCCAGCAGAGAGGGATACAACACCCCAGCAAAGAGGGATACAACACCCCAGCAGAGAGGGATACAACATCCCAGCAAAGAGGGATACAACATCCCAGCAGCGAGGGATACAACACCCCAGCCAAAAGACTGTGATACTCTATAAAAATTTCTCCCCATCCAGGAATCAAACTAAGGTCTCGTGTATAAGACAGCACAGAACCTACTCACTACACCACAGACACCGGTACTCATTCTTTCAAAGACACCCTTGTTTTTGCTGTAAACTTTTACACTTCTAAACAAGGATTCAATATCTTTTTTAGTTGTATGTTTAGCTTCTGGGCACTTGCAATGCAAATAGGTCAAATAAAAGCAGAAGACTAGAGGTGTTTAGTTTAGAGTTTTACGGCACTTTCAACCCAATAAGGTCATATAAGTGTCAAAGATTAGATGTGTTACTAGAGAGTAACAACACAATAAAGAAGGAGGAGAGATACGGATGATAGATGGTTGATAGGAAAGAAGGAGGAGAGATACGGATGATAGATGGTTGATAGGAAAGAAGGAGGAGAGAAACGGACGATAGATGGTTGATAGGAAAGAAGGAGGAAAGATATGGACGATAGATGTTTGATCAGAAAGAAGGAGGAAAGATATGGACGATAGATGTTTGATCAGAAAGAAGGAGGAGAGACATGGACGATAGATGTTTGATCAGAAAGAAGGAGGAGAGATACGGACGATAGATGTTTGATAGGAAAGAAGGAGGAGAGATACGGACGATAGATGTTTGAAAGGAAAGAAGGAGGAGAGATATGGACGATAGATGTTTGATAGGAAAGAAGGAGGAGAGATATGGACGATAGATGTTTGATAGGAAAGAAGGAGGAGAGATATGGACGATAGATGTTTGATCAGAAAGGAGGAGGAGAGATACGAATGATAGATGTTTGATCAGAAAGAAAAAGCCCACCACACAAGAGCACCCTCCAACCACCCATTGATCAGAGGTGTTACAAGAAAGTAAAATACACAGAAAGGAAGAAGGAAGAGATAAGGACAACAGATGTTTGAAGAGAAAAAAGGAGCAAACCACACCAGAGTACCCACATGGTAATTGTTTTAACACTGACCCCATAATTCCTAACAGAAAGCAGGCCCTTTAAAATGAGCAATTTTTAACCAAAACCAAATTTGAACCAGTGAATTCTGTAAGTAGGTCAAGTTAGTATCCGACAGCATCAAAGCAGCTGGCCGAACCCGAGTGACACATCCAGTATCATGTTCTAAAAATACATGCATGATATGCAGGGACTGTGAACACACGCACAGATATTCTGTATCTGAGGTGAGTTATGGCAGATATAGGTGTGAACCCATTCCCTTCAGTTATGCTATAAGTGGGGGTAAGTAATCAAAGGAACGAAAGAATCTTGAGATGCATCTAAAAATTCAGAAACTTAAAAAAAAACAAAAAAACTTACAAGAATTTTAAAAAAACAAAAAATAAAACAACCAAACAAACTGACAAGATTACTCAGTGTATCAACTACATCACATCTACATGAAAAAAAAC